TCAGAAAAGGCTTCTGAAGCTAACCATCAAATCTTAGGTCAGTTGAGATCCGCGCTTGCACACATAGAGATCTCACCTATCCAACAACCGTTCATTGTGGGTGTTCGCCCCATGTCGAATTTGCAATTCAAGCCTGGTATCCATGTTTGGAACACGACCACAAAATACTGGTTTACCTCAACACCAAGCTACCAATTGCATCACAGGATTGCGCCATCTCTCATAGAAGCAGAAGCTGAAGCTTTGGAATTATTTAGCGGGACGGTATCACCGGGTACAACGCGAGCTGCTAAGGGCTACCTGGTTCTGCACGACCCAAGTGCAATGTGCTTCTCTTTATTCCAATCTAGCGGTGATACAACCTTGAGGTCTCAATCCTTGAGACTGGTAGATCAGTACTGCCGTCCGGATTGCTGCATAAATTTCTTTCTTCGTGTGTGTCACTCATAGGACAGCCGTAACTGAACCAGTGACTTCTGTAACTACATAAGGCATCTAGTAAAACCATTGGATAACGCACTCAGCCATATCTTAAACTTATAGATTTAGTAAAATGTAAAACATGCTGTTACCTTACAACCTGTGTATAGATAAATAACTCAGTATATCTCTTCCTCAAGCTAATTGGGCGAGCTTCCGGAATCTGTTTGAAAGTTTGTCGTTGTTTACTGCTTGAATGAAGTATTGACTTGATGGATATCGTGCGTGATGTAAGTGTCATAAATCTAATCATGTGCTCTCTCGATGGGACTTTATTTTTCACGAATGACATTATTCGAAACGGGAAAATTTATCTGTAGTTAAGCTAAGTAAGACCAAATCGTAATTGGTGTATATACTGTGGTCTAAATGATTTTCTGCTCTTTTGCACTTTCAACATGCAGTAAGTATTCTCGGCGCATTATACCGGCAAACGATAGTGTTGCGATAGGCAATCCACTTGGACAGTTTTTCTCTGTCGTGTTTATGGGTATGATTGAACAGAGCAGATTAACCTCGGTCATTACAACTTTAGTCTTTACAATCGTTATGCTGATGGCACTTCCATACTCCTACTCTTTTCGAAGCATCAAAGACGTCAATAATAAACGCTATCACGTGCAATAAACGTTGAAGCTTCCCTCCAAAGTAGAAGGAAATGCCTTTTTTCCTTTCTTATCCTGGCCACGAAACAACTCGAGTTGGGCGCGATACAGCTTCAGGGGCGTGCAGAACGTGCCTCGAAAGGACAACCTGCGATTTTCTACCGTCTCACACGAGTGCTTAAAAACGGAGTCCCATCTAAATTCTAATAAGTCGAGAAGAAGGAATTTGTTTGGATGACACGTTTTCCGAACTAAGAAGCGCACACTTTTGATGCTAATAGAAATTACTTAACCAGACAGTTTCCTGAGTGCTAACAAAGTGCAAAAATGGTAAGTTCCCTTAACCCTTACGGCTTAGAAAAATCGAGATTTTACAACTGTCATCCAAGAGAGCAGTCGCTGCTGAAATCTTAGCTAGTTGCATTTTCCTGTCCACAGCAACCCTGTCCCACCGAAAAAGCAAATCCAGTTAGTCCGTAGCCCAGTGGTAAAAACAAGTGCCAAGGACAAGGGGCCTGTCCAGGCCAAATCTGTGTCCATTTATCGTTATCCGGTTTCTGTATAACCAGCTTACATTGACAGAACAACGAAGCGTTTATATAACAGGTTAAGGGAACAAGTGAGTGTCAAGAACCAACAAACGTAACCATATCCATGCTTCTCGGAGATAATAACCACGCCACCAAGTTGGCTGTCGCTTAAAGTAATCTATCAGGCACCGGACAATCAATCAAATTACGCCCGTAGGCATTTACTTAAATTCGCTGAGGCCATCGTGATTCGACTGTATGAGCCGGAGTTCTGCATCCGGAAATGTTTGTTTTTAACATTAAAACAACATTGGACCACTAGCAAAGTGACGTCCAGCCCATGGCGTTTTGTACGCGCCACATTTGGAACCTAACAGACATTGATCATGTGTGATAACCTTTTAGCAACTAAACATAATTTACAAACTTTATGTTGAATACACCATTTGTTTTGCCAGGAGAAAAAGGATCTAACATAATTGTTCGCCTGCACTGAAAACTGGTTACTTTGTTACTTAGTGGCAACTTCCCATTCTGCTCTATGGAAACACCTGGGATTTATAATTTATGACCTATTTGTGCTGTGAATGTACACGAAGTGCAGGACTACCACATCGTAAACGATAAATTTTTATAGGAACTTGCAAATACCAGCTCTTCTTTTCAAGTTTTTGAAAACGGCACCAGACAACCAAACGTGGCTCGTAATGCTGTTCTTCTCTGCGCTTGTTAGGCCGTTTTTCAATTTTATGTAGGTCAAAACTGTAATCCAGGCTTATTTCATCTTCTTTGTTGAGTGGATATTTGTGTAAGAGAATCATGCCAAGAAGAGCTATCTTAGTATCAGCAAGCTCAGTGTTCATCCAGTTTCTGTTTACCATGACAGTCACACGGCGCTGTGACTTGACATGAATGAGGTTTGTACTTTGGTATACTAGTAGAGGAAAGACACAGAGGCTAAAAGCATGTTTCTAGATGCGGAGTCCAGGTAAGGGTCTATGCTGACGCTTGTGGATTCGGATCCAAGTCAGTTTATTTGGCTGTACTGTCGACTCAGACTCCAGTGTCATGCTGATTTGGTGGTTAGATTATTCAGTATAAGCAAACGGTTAGTTATCAAGTCAAATTGTCGGGAAGGCTTAACATTGTTAATAGTCTTGGTTGCATTATGATGGGGTAGGACACGAGGCTTGCTTGTTACATGATATATCGATAATTATTCGCTGCGTGTTCATCATTTGTGTACGTAATGCAGCATAAGGCATTTTGCGCATCGTTGGACATAGTCTGATGGTCTTTTACGTCATGGGTTTGGATATCAGTTTTGCGTTCATCTACTATTGACAACCCTGCTTGTAGTTGGGTGATACAGGTCGAATTCAAGTGTAATTCGCAATTAAACCTTCATAGGTAGCAGTTAACGGACGAAGCGCTATTCATCTGTCATACGTTTTGCCCTCCAACTCTCCGGTAATCGTGCGGGCTTTGTTAGCGTTTTTGACTTTTGTTCCAAGGAACATCTAAAATGCTGCAAATTAGGTGCCATAGTTTGGAAAGGAGTTGCTGACAAAAGAACTACTTAAGTGCCACCGTTTTACTGAAGGGTTTGTTTCTATGACTACGCTTTCCTCTTAGTGTAGGGAGTTTGGACAGCGGATGAGTGCACATACTGGCCGGTCTAAGTTGGACCAAGATTAAAATACCAGGAAGTGTAGCGACCTCGGATTCAGACAGGTTGGATCATATAACACAGAGAATTATTGTTGTCTAGCGTGCTTCTTTGTTGTGGGAATGCACAAAAGCTTCCTTTGGTAGGCCAAACGATGGCGTCGTAACTTACTACAAAAGTTTGGTTGCACCAACTTCCTCAGGTCTAGGATACACTAGGTGTTGCCGCTATCATTTAGGTGGCGAAAACTGCGCGTCTGTTGCCAGTCCTTCAGTAGCATTGCATGTACCGCAGTGTTTTGCTGAAGTTAACAGCTTGTCCTATCTAGGTGAATAACTCTGGTCATACCTTCGGCTTAAACGCTGCGTTCTTAGTTGGATTTTGGTGTTAGGCATCAAGACTGACGTACCAATTCGTCTGATGATGAATGAAAAAGGCATGAGCCCACTGCTGAACCAAAATGGATCAATCGTATTATAACTTTTTCTCACCTTGCGCGGGCGCATTTAGAAAATGCTATTTTGGAACAGTTCGAACATTCTATACTAAATCTCAAATAATTAACACAGATTACCTATAAAGTGTGAGGCTTAGCTCACCATGAACTGGCATTGTGTGATGCGGCGATCCACGGTTCTGTGAGTGCTGCTGCCACAGGGTCCATCCGAGCAAAATGAATGCAGATCTTGTCAATCAAATTGGTGGCGCGGATTGCACCCAGAAGATTATTGTTCTGAGGAGCAGGTGTGGACGCAAAAATATCAAGTCGCGCTCGCATGCCCTTGTCACACTGAGGGTAAGTTCATAATGTTCACCTCCCCTGGTGTGACCTTAGGGTGTTCTCTCGGTTTTCGTCTGGCTTGTCTGCAGGGTGAAGCTTTGGGCCAAGGCTGCAATCGCACCGTGCATTTGCAGCCGAAGTTTCACGCAGCTGATAAATAAAAGTCTGTGGAACGTCCGCAGTCAAATGGTTGGATGGCGAGGCGCATTTGTCAAGAGGCTGGATGACTTTTATTGCAGGTTAACCGGCGTTACTCTGTGGTAAATTTAAATTACCAAGGTATTTTTCAACCGTTGTTGTAATGCTCTTAAAAGGTAGATTAAACTATGTGTTTGACGTTTGGAATAACACAACTTTATGTGCGCTGGTATTCATTAAATTTCACCGGAATCTACTGCTTTTGGTAACTTGCAGATGCAGTGGTATCGTTCTCAGGAAAATGGTATTAAGCCGATAAAGTGTGCATCTACTATTTTACGAGAAACTGAGGCTCACTAACTATTGGAAAACTGCGCGAATTTGCGGCGGTCAGGGCACGTAGCGTATCAGGATGATTCCGTGGTATACATGTCATGACAGTTATCTTCACAGCATGTGAATGCTGATTTAGGTACGAAATATTTCGTGTCCCTATATACGCGGTGGTTATGAAATCAGCAGTTCTAGTATTCTACGAAGCACGAAATCGCTTATTGAAGACCGCCACGACAAAAATCTTTATGCTGTGGTGAGCAAGTTGCTATTCCACAAAACCCATTATGTTTCTCCTACCTTGATATTGGGGATGATAGATACAAGATCCTATGAATACCTTACGGCAAGCAAACCTAAGGAGCGTCAATTTGCTAGGAAATCTTTTGCAAAATACGTAATGCTAATCGGCCCATAAGTTGGTTTTGTGATGCCATGCACAGTAATCTTGCTTTTTCTTGCAGTTTCAACAACCACCGAAAGTGATGTGATTGGCCAAACTAACACCGAGACCGGCAACGAAACCATACTGAGCTCCGAATTTCCGCAAAATTACTGTGGTGGCGCTTTTTGCAATTATGCCATAAATGTCACAGCCAAAGCGCAAATCCGCATAAAATTTACGGAATCCAAGGTGGGTCATAGACGGCTGTATTCTTGTACCTCGATCACTCCTAATATTAAGGTAGCGCACACGGCTAGTCTTTTGTAAGGAAAATATTAGAAACTAACGCAGTTATTTAGTTACACAATAAAAATGCCTGACGACAATTACTTTATAATTGAAGCAAATAATTCCTTTCAATACTTCCACACAAAAATTAGAAAAGGTCGTTTATGAGACGACTTTGTCATTTCGTACATCCTTATAACTCACAAGTATGCAACTATGATTGCAAAGAGTGAAGTGTTATAAGAGATGAGCGCTTGCGCACCGAGGGCAAACTTTTAGCCACAGTCTGCTGTTTTTGGTGGTGATGCATACTAGAGGGGCCTGCGATTGATAACCATGGTTGCACGTAAATGTGGTACCGCTGATCGCACACAAGAAATGCGAACGATGTGCCAGAATTAACTCGATGGCCGGTGGTCTTCAAGTACCTTGTGACTGCCGAGGCAGCTCACTTGTACCATTCAGCCGATCTATACGCCACAATTCCCATCCGAATACGTAGCTAGTTGGGGAAATGTTAATCGATTCTAATGACTATACTTCGTTCCATGTGCTTAACGTGGCTGTCTCCACCGCTGCAACTACAGGAGCAGCTTTACAGTGTGTGGGATATGCACTGCCTCGTTGTCGGTGTCGAAGTGGAATACAAAAGCCTAGCTCTCCTCTAGACGAGGGGCCTCACGCCTGCCACTTTATGTGCTCATTTTGCTGAGGCACCTTCTGAGTCAAATCAGTTAATAAGTCGGACAAGACTGTCGGCAAGATGAAATGTCCAGGAAGTCCCGCTGCGCCCTAGTCTGTAAGTCTTGTGACCCCACTGCGAGCGTCATGCGGCGCAGCTAATTGACTAGACAAGCAAACATCCAAGATCATGCCCAAGTGCATTTGTCTGCGGCGTTATTTGACGTTCCACAAAAGCTGCATAATATGGTCATATTAAAAGTCAGATCAGAGGAGAATGCCAAAGAGGAAACAGGGCAGAAAGCCGTAACCGGGCTCAGTAAGGTGTTCAAATTAACAAAAATATGAGCTTGCAGTCCAGAAAACCGAATGGAAAGGGATAAATGAACCGCTTCCTTCAGACGAACGAAGACAAAAATGCAACCTGGACGACTGGTGTGTGAACAGACAGACGCAACTTAAGCGAGGTGACCGCTAATTTGAACTAATGTGACTAGGATGCATGCAGATTATTGATAGCATTTTCTGTTTTCCCAACCAGTATTTGGTTGGCCAGGCCAAACGAGAAGCTTGCTACGGAGACTGGTTCCTGTTTTGTACATTGTCTTAGCGAGGGTTGGAACACGGCTCGTTGGTGACTTATCTGCAACCGGATTTCAATACGTGGCGGTTGATCAGCGAGTGCTGACGCATCGGTTGTAGGATCAATGCTGTTTAAACGCTGCAGTAACTGCGTGACGATACGTCATCATGACCGCTAGTATACGGTCCATAACTGACTGTAACGTCCTGTAAGTTGTGCAAATTTTCGGGAAACTGGTAGTGTTTGTATCGCCAGAAAACCTAGTCAGCCTCGCACCACTGCGAATGAGTTTGCGGCTTGAGCTGTTAACCGAAATCCCAATCTTAACTTTAGTGAAATTGCACAGCATTGTGACTTTCCCAGTTACGCTGTTCAGGATGTAAGAAAGGAAAAAATTATTTCGTCGGTTTGGCGAAATTTAGGTGCTTTCTGAACCCCGGTTACCAGGATAAACGACATACATTTAGCTGTACGTACTTATTTACATGCATACTCGTTCAGTTACGTTTACCCACAAGGTAATATTTCCTTTGAATACAATAACGAAATATTACGTTCAAACCGTGTCTAATACAATACTTTGCCATGTGTCACGTACACAACATAACCATAAGCTAATGGGCCAAGCTAATGTTGAGCCCATTATTATTCCAGCAATGCGATTAGTAGGTTGATTTTTTCAGTACTGATTTAATGTCTTTCCTGGCATCGTATTATAAGGAACTGCTGCAAACCTGCATAGTTCCGCAACGCAGTACCACTTGGGGTCTATGGGTTGGTGCAAGTGCACATCAAACCTAAAGGCTATGTGATTTGCACCAATTACAGAAGGCTACAGCAACTTACGGACCGTATACTAGCGGTCATGATGACGTATCGTCACGCAGTTACTGCAGCGTTTAAACAGCATTGATCCTACAACCGATGCGTCAGCACTCGCTGATCAACCGCCACGTATTGAAATCCGGTTGCAGATAAGTCACCAACGAGCCGTGTTCCAACCCTCGCTAAGACAATGTACAAAACAGGAACCAGTCTCCGTAGCAAGCTTCTCGTTTGGCCTGGCCAACCAAATACTGGTTGGGAAAACAGAAAATGCTATCAATAATCTGCATGCATCCTAGTCACATTAGTTCAAATTAGCGGTCACCTCGCTTAAGTTGCGTCTGTCTGTTTACACACCAGTCGTCCAGGTTGCATTTTTGTCTTCGTTCGTCTGAAGGAAGCGGTTCATTTATCCCTTTCTATTAAGTTAGCTAGTCTGTAGGCACATTGGTTTGTTAGTTTGATCATTTTACTGAACTGTGTTATGGCCCCATATTGTTAATGGCACAGTAGTATACATTTTGAAACGGTTGGCAAAGGTCGTTTCTTGGTTTCTTTTACTGATGCTCTTTGCAAACTGCAGGAAAACATCAAGCCACACCGCTAACTACTTCTACGGATTTTCGCGTATGGAATTTGTTGATAACAATACGCCTACCAACTGCTGTATTTACAAATTTTAGTAAGGTATCTCTCCGTGTTGTCATTTCGACAACCTTCAAAAGTTTATATAGGTAAATTTGATGTGTTGTTTTGTACAACTTCGTGTTTTACAACAAATTCCAAAACCAGTGATGCGGAGGCTTGAACCTTCGATTGTTGGTTGTTATTTTCCTTAAATATGCTTTTTGTCAATTTTCTAATTTTTCTAGGATTATCAGCTAAAAAGACGTTAAGTTTTATCTTCTCTCAAGCGCTACCATGATTAAGGAATGTTTCAATATTTACGCATTATTTATTTAGGTTACAGTTATGTTTATATTACTATTAGTATCCTGTGTAGCCGAGTGTTTCTATCACTCTATAAACAAAGGAAAAGTTTTGATAGTGCAGTCCAGCAACTAGCAAGTTCCTCATTACTAAACTGTGGGTTGCAAGGCGCTTATAAAACGGAGAATATTCAGTATTCAGTACTCATTTTGTCACAAAATTGTAGGACGTAACTCGCAGAGGCGACTAGTTGCGTAATCTTTTGGCTATTCCACTGCAGTAAGTTTTCGATATTATTTTCCTAGTTTGAACTGCATTGGATTTATATACTACTCAGTGAATAACGACGACAATCTTAAAGTCTTTCTAAATCAGGACATGAGATTTGTGTGACTTGTTGCACTTTGTAGTTTGTGCTGTAACATGTGGATCACCAGTGCCTAACCTCAACATAATGCATGTATTTCGCTGCAGGTAGCTCCAATAAACCGGAGAATAGATGTGACAACTTTTTAGATTTTTCCACTTTCCACAAGTACGGTAACTCTTTAGTTCTGAAGATTTAGTTTCTACATGCAATTTTATCACTTCCCGCATGAACGCTAAACACTCAAAATAGATGGCAGGTAGACATACTTGTGTGCTGCTTTATCATAAAGCATTCGGGTGCGTGCGCGGATTCACTTCACTGAATATCTAAGCGTCAGCTGCAATTACGACTGCATCACATTCATTGCGTTTCCTAGATCTGAAATCCGCGAAGTAGGTGACTAGGAATTGCGTGAATTGCCACGCCAACTGCCCCACAACAATTTTCGCCGATAAACTGTACCCATATTTGAACAGTCGGCTCTCGAAGCATAATGCTTTGTTCTCGTTTCGAGAAAATATGAATGGGTATGCATAAGTTCATGGTATTCATTTGGTGAAGGTAACAGTTTGCGATCAGAGCAAGAAACTCCGTTATTTCTCACTATTTCATGGATGAACTTCCGCTTAAATGAACAGAACTGCTGTACTTAGTGTGGAGTATAGAACAGGATTCGTATTAGAAATTGCGCTGCAACATAAATCGTCTTGACCTGTTACCTTACATTGCCACACATTAATAGCAAATATTTGCCACTCCAGCATGCCACTTGTGCCATTGCACAAAAGATTGAAGCCTCTTGTGGATATTTCACTGCGTCAAATACGGGAAGTATACCCCCTATGCATAAAAGGGTTAGCGGAGTTAGAAAATATACACCAACACGGAAATATATTAAAATCTGTTCGTTATTACAATGCCCGATACTTTATCCAGTAAAGATATATCAAGTACCATTTGCTTTAGCTCCGTGAATGTCGTATAGCATACAGATTTCAGACAGCATCTCTGGCTGGAGGAGTAATGCAGTAGCGGCCTGCCTTGTTTTGTCAAGCTAATCTGTTAGATTAAGTAGCACTTTAAGCCGTTTTTCAATATAAGCACCATATTCGTTCATGTCTAAATTGAGAACACGTACAGACCACGAAGTGAATGAGTTGTTCTGCATCGGATGCATTAAGTTACCTTGGAAGTCCAGAATACTAAGGTAGGCCATCGATTAAATAATATTCCACAAATATTTTGGCTGTTTCTTTGGCCATAATTCTTTCTCGGTTAATAAAACCAATTTGGTTCGTCTAATCTCTGAGTGAAAATGTACCAGACAATTGCGATAAATTTGCACGTATTTATTTTTGATAAAAAGTAATGTATTGGAAATTAATTGCATGACCAACAGCCACTATTTTGCTCCTCATTAATATACACTTTGCTCGTGCTAAATAGTTGGCCTAATGGATGTATGGGCTCCTTTTAGAACGCTAGGTTTTGTTTCGTGAAATTTCGCTTATTGAATTCATTTGTACTTGATGGTGTAGAATGTTGAGTAGGTGCCGTTCGGGTAAAGGAAAC